AGAATATCATTATCACAATAGGAAAGCTCCAGAATAGTTTGTTAAGACCCTCGGCGAAAAGTAACACGCCATTCGGAGCAACTGTGTAGAAAGATTGCCTGGATTACGCATGGTGATATTCCCTAGGTTGTCTCGTGAGGAAAATCTGATCTGTCGCGGATGCAGTTAAAAAAAGAATAACTCTCAGCAAGATATAAAAGGGTAAAAAGTTATAATAAAAATGAAAATGAGCCATGAGAATGGATTTTAAATTAAAGTTTATAAAAACGTAGAAGGAGGACCTTACAACGGATTTTATAACTCGCTGGTTCATGATCCATAAATAAAAATATTTGATTCGTCAGGGCAGGAAATCTCTTAAAGATACGAAGAGAGGCTTGAAAGCATTAAAGAAGAAGCTTTGAAACCTAAACAAAAGATCGAGGCGGATTCCAGATTGCGGTAAAATTTCGTTCCAATAATCATCGTTCAGTCCGAAAGCTTGTCTAAATGAATGAACGTATTTACATCTTCAAACTATAAGTCAAGCGTGCTTTTCTATGGTCAGCCCGAAACCCATGTCAAGCCTCCCCTATCTCAGGCGATAATGTTTAACCTTATAGCTTAAAAAAATATGAATTATCACGCTCTTATATTCTGAGTTGTAAGAGATCAAATGAAAATTAAATCTGTCACCTTTGCCCGTATACTTTTCAAATGCGTAGGAGCTGATGTTTTTATGCTTTCAAAGTGAACGCTTCACTTAACTTTTCAGCTCTGTTGTCCTAAACGCAGACATCCGATCTTTTCCAATACGACAAAAATAAATTTGTTCCAGAAATTTGAAACAATCAGTATTTGCTCTCAGGTTTCCATTCCGCTAAATAAAATCTCATTGTCCTATAAATAGCGCCTTTTCCGGTAACAGCCTTACTACGTTCGCACCATTCACCTGCCTTTTTTATTGTAAATACGATACCTTTTATTAGAGACCGCTCAATGTGTTGACCGCGAATATTCATGCGGAAAATTCAAGGTTGTTTGATTTTAGCTTAAGGCCACAACAGAGTCACCCAGGGCTGGTAATGGGGTGTTGCCGTCAGCCTTTAAACAGCTTTAATTTAATCACTCAACTGTCAGAAATGAGAAATTTTCACCGTCAACCGTCTAAGTATCATAACCTTTCAACAGTTTATCGTACGTTTAAATCTCATTATTCAACATCTTCTATAGCTAGCCGCTTACCCCGATCAATTCTAAGTCCCGCATCTTTTTCCAGTCAGTTAGAAAGCCCTTATTCAGAACAACCAAACAGATTTCAGGACATCAAAAAAATTTGAGAAAAGTTGATTTCAGCTCCGCACTATCAGCCTTTCACTGGTTGGAATTAAAATCGATTTCAATATATAATGGCACAATAACATTGAAAATCCTCCTAGAAAAAAATGTTATGAAACAAACCTTAAGGGTGGCTTGACAACCACCAAAAGGCAACTGACACTAGCAATGTTTCCCTTTACACTGTGCATGACCATTCAGCGAAAATATAAATTAATTTTCTTTTTTATTGACTGCTGGTTAAAACTGCCTTTTGGCCATGTGGCCACATACAGTGGAACTCAAATAGTGCTAGCAAGAACAGCATAAAGCTTCAAGTATGACAAGTATAGATCATTTAAAAGTCTGGTTTTAAATGACGGGCCTCGAGATAAAATCACATTACGCTTTTGACATAATGTTGGCCTATATATATATATATATATATATAAATATATATAATCTGAAGTTATAAGTTTACAAAGATAGTTTCAGCGTGCAATTAACAGTAGTTAGCATAATACAAGCGCTCACGATTACAATTTATTCATTAAATTTTTACCAAAACCCATAAAAGGAAATTAAAATTTAGAAGACAGAAACTTCTGTCAAAGATGTTTGGAACTAATACGGTTTTAAGTTCGTTTGTGACCTTTCTAGGATTGTATTGAGAATCAATATCATACATTTCTAGGCTCTTTGTTAGAGCTGGCTATCTTTTCGCACCAGGTGCGTTATCATGAATGCCTATTTGACGTTGTAACAGAGACCTCAACTTTGACTTTTCTGCACATACAACAGCATTTCGATTTTAAAAGTTTTACGATTTCTCCTTTTAGCTCTTTGTTGAAAACGCCGTAGATTATCGGGCTGATGGCAGTAGTACTGCCAACAAAAATGCTGTAAAACACGTAAATAAGGCGAGGGGCGAAAAATTGACCAAGAAACACCCCAAGTGAATCGATGACATAAAATGGCGTCCAACAAATCGTGTAACTCAACACAATAGCGAACAGTAATTTTGTTACTCTAATTTCCTTCGCTGAAATTCCGCTACCGCTTCCGTTACCGCGTCCAGGGCGCCTCAGTAATGCATTGTGTTCTTTCACCTTCTTATAAATCTTGAAATAACAATACGAAATGACAAGATATGGAAGCTGAATGTTGAAGAAACCTGTCAAAAAGGCGTGCACTATATTCAACTTCGCCACATCAAAGACACAGACGCCTTTTCCGGAATGAAATTCAAACTTGTTGCCGAAAATCATGTAATACACAGGAAAATTTCCAGCTAAGATCCATGACGCAGCAATCGATATACAAGCGTTTCTCTTTGTAAAGTACTTACGATGAAGGTTCGATTTTACCATGAGGAAGTATCGATTGATTGCGATTAAAGCCATGGAATAAATAGAACCTGTGGCCAACATGGCCGTCGTGAATCCTACAAATTGACAGGTAGCGTCATCAAAAGTCCACTTTCCTTTCACCGTTACCTCTGGTAAAAAAATCCAAATGAAGAAAGACAGCAGTAATTCCATCGCACTTAGAGAAGCTACGTAAAAGTTGGAGATAGTTCTTAACGATGGTGTCAGACTTATGACAAAGAGTACAAGAAAGTTCCCGCACACACCGATTAAACCTACTAGCACAAATACAACCAGTTCTGTGACAATCTCGGCTTTTGTTCTCGTTGCTAGCTGCAAAGCGAACATTTCATTTCGGTTTAACTGAACTTCGTTGTCCATAAACATCTCACTGGATCCTCTTCCTGAATTGTCAGCTGGGTGAACTGTTGCCGTAAAAGAGATAAAACATTGATAAACGTAATAAAAATGTCGGAAACATCCCTCGAACCTCTACTAAGTCTTTCGAACCATGAGTTATGTCATGCACAAATACCTTCAACGCACATGAACCATATATGTAGTTTGTCATTACGGAGGAAGAACGAGACGGAAGTAGAGCAAGGAGGCGCAATATTGGCATGAAATGGAGAATTAATGAAGCGAATTTCAAAATGACGAACATAATATTTCGGGTAAAATATTTCAAGAAGAGCAAACCTTTAGCGCACGGATGACAGCTGTCTAGCCCCCTGAATAAACCCTTTGCGTGGGCTTGTACGCCTAAAGAGGCAGGTCCTTTTGCTCTTATGTTGTTTGGTCATGCTTTAATTTAATCACAAAAGCAGTGACCCAACACAACAAGAAACTCAACACCATTTTAAAAGGATGTTGAGTAGCATAATTGATGACATCATTCCTGGAAAAGGACATGGCTAACGCTATTAGCTGATGTAATCAACTGAGTGTGAACTGCCTCTCCCTCAAATGTCTTACCCAAGTTCTGCATGAAAAATGCCACAGTTGTTTTTTTTTCTGTTTCCTTTTTGCCTTGGAAAGACTATACGCCACTGTCATGCGATTATCGTTTGTCGTTCTAGGGACTAACAGTGGGAGGAAATTTTCCATAACATACATATAGTTTTTTTATACTAAACTGATTTTCTGTCTGTTCTTGAAATGAGTCTATGAGAAATCACTTGATTATCACGGGTATTCCGTAAAATGCCGTGCAAAAAGGGTTTTTCTTCTGTCATTACCTGTTCAGCTCTTTTTATTTATGATTCACCTACTTTCTATTTCAGGTTCCTTTCAATTAAATTAGATTCTGAACTTGATTTTCTCGAGTCTTGAGGAAAATAACATTCGAATGAATTTTAATAACGATTTAAGAGATACGTATGAAACGGTATGAAATCGAATGATTAGGGTGAGTTTTACGGGGATAATCCACTTCCTGAACACTTGAATGAGTTATCAACTTACTTTTCCTTTCAAACCAAGGACCACATTGAATTGGTGCTAGTTTAGACAAGAAAATCACAGCGCAAAATATAGTGCGGTACATAACATCTAAAGCTTTCCCCAAAGCATGTCACTTACCTCAATCGGTTCTTTTTAACATAGGACGTCTTTCGATATCTTTGAACAGTGAAAGGTTGCTTACATTTTCTTCGATAACTTCACTTTAATCAAACCATGTATTTCATTAATGTTTTATAATTTTGATTTAAATCCACTCGCTGAACAACAGCTTTCGCTACGTGAGGTCACTATTCGAAGCAAAAGTAATTAATTCGCAGCTCATTTTTTTGTCTCATTTCACCTGTCTTACCTGACAGTTGGTAAACATGGACGAGAGTAAAACTGAAGGAACCAATTGATTGAAAATGGAATCTAAGTTCAGGTTTCCGTCCCTGCAACGCTGCTATGGCAACAATTTATCGAGAAATTCAATTTTCTTTTTTTCTTTTTTTGACACAGTCATTCATCATCTCTTAACATGATCATGGCTATCATTCGGTTAGCTTCCATCGATTGAGCTAAATGGAGTTTACATTACACAGATCCAATATACACATTCACAGAGTTCTTTAATTCGCTGATATAGTTTCAGTACGTTCAATTTCCTTTTAGTATAAAGATAATACCCCATTGTAATGATTTATTGATCACGCGCAAATTTCCGTGACTCAGGGGAAATTAAAAGAGCTAGTGACATGAAAAAATATTGTGACAAACACATTAATTACAGTAAGTTGGAATCACATTAGTTTTTTGATAACTCTCCAATTTTTCATCCGTGTACAATTTTTCGGTGGTGACTGCCTCCTGGAGGAAGCGAAGCAGAATAACGGAACTTCTTAAAGAAATATCCAAAACAATTAAATTGCTATAAATTAAAATAAAATAAATATTTTCAATAAACAGGCGAACTTAACAGAAGCATAGGAAATCATTGTTGGAGCCTGGTGGATAGGTGAACTATGAGGCTTTCAAGCTTATCCCTCAGTAAATTATTACTTTATTGCTATTATTATAATTATTATAATTTCAAATAGTATTATTTGTTACTATTTATTATTGGTTGATTGTCAATTAGACAATATATTCTCAAATCAACTCTTACTTGTGGATCAGGGAACTCTCATAAATATGTGGAATGTGACATGCTTTCTGTTTTGCATGCGAGAGAAACTTAATATTCTTCAACACTACCTTTTAGTGTTTTTACTCAACCTCTAATTCTTTCAATGCTCCAAAAATTGTGTTATACCAGTACCCACATGCAGTCTTTGACTGTTTATTTTCAAAGATTCTGGCAGAGCGTATATACGTATTTGCCATGATTTGTATATGCCATATCATTTTTTTTTTTCAGCTCTGGGTTGGGTACTTTTGCTGCTCTCTTGTTATGACGACTGGGCGAAATCACGCAATAACAAGAAGTCCACTGACATTGCCTTTTTGGATTTTTCCAAGGCGTTTGACAGCGTACGCATGAACGTCTCCTTTTCAAGCTTGAGCGTCACGGTATCGACGGCAACGCTCTTCAGTGGTTTCGAAATGTTTTAACTGGCCGGATGCAACGCGTCGTCCTGCGAGGCACTTGCTCGTCCTCGTCTCCAGTTTTATCAGGAGTACTCCAGGGAACAATCCTTGGTCCCGTCTTATTCATTTTATAAGTAAATGACATCTCATCAGGTATTTCATCTACGGTTAAACTGTATGCAGATGACACTAAGGTTTACAGAGAGATCTCCGACATAGCTAGAGACACAAATATTTTTCAGTCCGACTTATTTCACCTGAAGAAGTGGTCTGAAGTGGTCTTGGAGAAAATTCAGAGAAGAGCCTCTCGATTGGCTTTAGGTCAGCGAAGGGGTGAGATGTCATATAAAGATCGTTGGGAAATGTTACATTGGTCGAAGTTGACTGATAGAGGGCTATATTTTTCCTTGGCAGAATGCTATAAACTTGTATTCGGGCTGAATGGCCTTCATTTTTGTGATTTTTTTAAATTTGCTTCAAAACGTACTAGGTCCAACCTCAATTACAAACTGCAGGTTAAATTGGCAAATTGTAATTGTTATAAATGCTCTTTTTTTGTTAAAATCATTCGTGAATGGAATGACCTGCTCGCCAATCTCGTTGAGACAGGTAACTTAACACGTTTCAAAACAGCTCTTAAATTATACATGCGTATTGATTAGGTTTTTATCCATCTTAGATTTTATCATAAGCATAAATTTTTAATTTTTATTTCTTTGGAAGTTTATTTACATAGGGTTGACCTCTTAAACTTCCTTGTTAGGGTATTATTTGTGTTGTTTATTCTTCGATACCTTAAATAAAGTATGTATGTATGTATATATGCATGCATGTAGGTATGTATGTATGTATGTATGTATGTATGTATGTATGCATGTATGTATGTGTGTATGTGTGCATGCATGTATATATGTATGTATGTATGTATCAAGAAGGCCAATAAGAGATTATATTTCCTGTTTCTCCTTAGGAGAGCGGGAGTGGACCCTCGTGATATAATCAACTTTTACTGCACTGTTATTAGATCTGTCCTGGAATATTATTCGCCCGTTTTTAATCTTGTATTGCCCGAGTATTTAAGTAATGATATCGAACGAGGACAGAAAAGGGCCTTAAGTACCATCTTACCAGATTCTTCTTACAGTCTATGCTTGAGTAACTATAATTTAGACACTTTCCAGTCTCGGCGCGAGGAACAGTGTTCTAAACTGTTTGATGCAATCTCTAATGACCACAAACTATCTCACTTATTTCCTACCAATCATGTAAACCATTATAACCTGAGGAGAATTAGAAAAGGTACGACCTCCCAGGCGTGCGCACCAAGCGTTTTCAGCGGTCCTTCATCCCGAGCATGTGCCGACTAGCAAACAACACTGTGTGAATATTCGATTGATCAAGCCTGCCTAGTATTACTCGATCTCAGCGATATTTTATCTTTTCATAGTTTCTGATACAATTGTAACTTTTTATTATATTCCTGTATGTATTATACTCCAGTATGTATCTACTATAACATAGCATATCGTTGTAAAATATTATGCAATTCAGCCCCTTGGCTGCGATGTAATATTTGATTTTAAACTATTAAACAACAAACGAAGCCTTGTAACGTTTAGATCCTTGGCAGAAATGCTTGGAGAATTATCGGGTCTGTTATGCAGAGTCATAGCATTGTGTTTCCGAATTGTTAGAAATACCCTAAAATAGCTGAAAGAGATTATGCTGAGCGTAAACACGACGAATTAATGCTATGATTCAGGGCGAGCCCCTCTGCGAGACTGACGTCATCGAGGTCGTAAATGCAGCAGAATTTTCCCGGATGATAGCGGAAGTTCCCCTTTAACAGGAAGTAAATTGGCCAGACGAAGCACCTAGCCAGGCGAGTGACAAAGAAGTTAACACTGGTTTCACTTTGAAAGACGCTTTGTATAGGTTAGGGCGTACAACTTTGAAATAAGGATTTACAGAAGTTAAGGTAAATAAAAAGTGACGCCGATCCAAGAGTTGTAGCAGTGTAACCGTGATACAAACATACCGCTCCGCTGAAAGACCAGTGTCCCGCTATCAAAACGCTCAAGGACAGCGGCATACCAAGGAATGACATGAACTCATGGGTCAATACCAATGCCATGATGTAGTAGTTTGGCGTGGTGCGCAGGCGTGGATTTCTCTGGACTGAACATAAAACTAAAGCGTTGCCTAGAAACGCAATCAACATCACTATCGCCATAGGAAAGCTCTCCAGAATAGTTTGTAAAGACCCTCTCTGCGAAAAGTAACGCGCCATTCGGAGCGACGTTGTAGAAAGATTGCCTGGATTACGCATTGTAAAGTTCCCTAGGTTGTGTCGTGGAAAAAACGTGACCTGTGCACGTACCGGTTCAGTAAAAAAAAAGAAATGATTCACAGCTAAGTGTAAAAAAATAGAAAGTTATAATAAAAATGAAAATGAGCCTTGAGAATAGAACTATGACCCGGAGCTATTTACCGCTGAGTTGGCTTCATACTCTGACTCGTTTCTTTCGGTGTTCGATGGTTCTGATGTAAACATCAAGCTTAACACTTTCAACAATGTTTTCCGTCAAGTACTTGACGTACACGCCCCAGTGAAAACCATCAAGATCCGTAACCGCCCTTGCCCATTTGTTACTAATGATATGAATGATAATGATAATGATAATGATATTAAAGAACTCATGAGGGCTAGAGATGGCCTTCATCGTCGTTTTCTTCAGACGCGCGACGCTTCCGACTGGACAAGATACAAGATCTCCCGTAATGACATCAAACGAGTCCTTATTGATTCGGAAAGGACATACACTTATCAAGAGGTTCAAATCAATAAGAGTAACCCAAGCTCACTGTGGAAAGTAATTAACAACATCGTTCTGTCGAAAGACCGAGAGAGAGACATGTCAACTCGAAAGACCTTAAGTCAGTTGTAAATGATTTCAACTTATACTTTTCATCAG